CAAGTTCATCATAGATATGTGGTCCTAAGGTTGAGATATCCATTGCTACACCTAAATAATCCAAATCCTTTGCAAGATGAACTATAAATTCATGTTCAACTTGCGAATCTTTTTGTATAGATGAATGAGATAGAGTTTCTTCATTGAAGGAGGAAATACTTACACGTCCACCAGCTTCTAACTATTTATCATTAAGTTGGGTAAAAAAGGCATTTAGATCTAACGGATTTCCGATTTTAATCTGTAATTCCAAATTTTCAGGTAAATGGCTATAAAGAATAGATAAAGCATCTGCAAATGGTAAAGCATCTACACATGGTCTAATTCGTTTTTCATATGTTTTTGGAGTATCAATAGAGAGGAATTTATCAGACATAAGCGCTTTCATAGAAGCCTATGCTGAACCTAATTTTACTGCACGATATATTTCTTGAAGCCATGCTATGAATAATGCTGGAGTATTGACCAGATTTCCTGCATTATTATTAAATGGATTAGGAAGAGTGAACCTTCCTGCTATCTTATCTGCTAATATATTAGTTTTTATACCATCATTAAATCCTACAACCCCTAATGAATGTCCATAATTAATCGCCTGCATAACCTTATTATAATGATCATCTGGTAGCTCTTTACTAACATATTGCAGTATTTGAGCTAAAAGTAGGGCCATTGAATTTAAAACATCTGGTAGGGTAACCATATTTCCTGGAAGATTTATTTGTAAATTCAAAATAATTTGCCTCGAATTTAATTCTTTAGCCTTCCATTTTTGATATCGATTATATAGTCGATCTCGATTATATTCTAATAATCCTATATCATTTCTGCTTTGACGATAATATCTTTTTAAATTCTGAGCCTGTTGAGTACATGCAGTGTATCTTCTTTTCCACCAACATTTTTCATAAACATTTTCACATACTGTATCTCTAAGATTAATGATTTCATCATCTCTTTGTTGTCGGGCTTGTCTTTCATCCCTCCATGCTTGCTCCATCATTTGTACATTTCGAAGACAATCATTTCTAAAATTTGTCATATCATTCATAGTCCTATTGGTCTGCTCATGGGATGCATTAAGCAAATCTTGTAAGTTTGCATTATCCTGAACATGCCTTTCCATATGCTCTCAGATCGTTGTTACTGAGATCCGTATTCCATTCAGAGTATTTTTCGGATTAAATGATGTATCCCCATCAATATATCTTTCAACTCGATCTAAAGCTGTACCTATATTTCTTAAGATATCTGGTAGTGCCATTGGTGAACTATTTATTTGGGTTAATTTTTTATTTGTAATATCCCTAATTCGCTTCTTAAGCTGATCAACCTTGTCTTCTAGTCTTAAAATATGGATATCTTGAGCGGTACTTGCATTACCTTTATACCTTAAATCCTGCAATGCTTTGTGGAGACGCTGTTTAAGGGATTTTATCTCAGACTTAAGAGATGCTATCTCATCTTCGTGGGCTAGTATTGTTGAATCCTGCTGGGATATAGTTTTATAGCATGCGTCTAGCTCCTTGTTAAGAGCCTTAAGCTTTTTATTGGAAATATCATTTGAGACTATTTCATCTGTTAATTCTTTGCGCAATTCTTTATTAGTATCAAGAAGTTCGATATAAGCTTCTTTCTCGGTTATAGACCTTCGAAAGGATGGGTTTGCAAAGGGATCTTGCATAGTCATTTTAAATTAAATTTTGGTCTTTTTTCGAATGAATATAAGAAAAAAAATGTTGATTCCTATTATACAAATAGATTCGAATAAAGCTAGAAATTTAGATATATCTATTGATTTGCAAAAGATTTATTATCAGCCCTTAGGCTATCAGAGGACTGCGGAAAAATTGTATGAAGCTTCTCTAAAAGCTGGGTTCGATTTTACATTAAATGAAGTACATGATTGGCTTGAGAGACAAGCTGTGCATCAGATTCATAAACCTCCGACCTAAATATATTTTATATGCAAGTTTTAGTTCTATTACTATGCATAATGAGATACATTAAACAGTCATTGATTCCTATTATACAAATAGATTCGAGTAAAGCTAGAAATTTAGATATATCTATTGATTTGCAAAAGATTTAT